TATTGGCTGTGGGAGGAATGATCGATTCAACTATGTAGTCATGCAGTTGCAGGTAGGTTACCTTAAAATGTATCTTAACCTTCTGTACTTCATGATGCTTCAGATTTTAATACTTGCCTTAAAAATTTACAGGCCCAATCTTCTCTCTGTTGATGATACTTCAGCTATTTCTCTTTAAAATGTATCTTAAAATACAGTATTTTCTTGAGTTAAAAAAATTGTCTGTGTCTCTTCTCTAACATGAGTTTGGTTTGGTCTCAGCTAATATTTGATTATCATTGAGGTGACTAACAAAGGATGGTTGAGACTTAGGTTTTGATTACTTTTTTAAAATTTTACTTGAGTAAAAGTTTTCAAATTATATTGCATTTTTATTCAGTCATTCATTTGTTGTTGTTGTTGTTGTTATGTGCCATCGAGTCACTTGCGACTCATAGTACAACAGCCCTAAACTCTGCTCTGTCCTGTGCCAATCGCACTGTCTCCGACACTCCCATCCCAATTATCCCAGTCACTGAATCAATCCACCTCATAGAGGGCCTTCCCCTCCTGCGCTGTTCCTCCACCCTCCCAAGCATGATGTCCTTCTCCAAGGACCGGTCTCTCCTCACAACATGTCCAAAGTATGTTAGACGGAGCCTCAGAATCCTTGCCTCCAAGGAGCCACCCGGTTTAACCCTTTCCAGGACAAATCTGTTTGTTTTCCTAGCAGTCCATGGTATTCTCAATACTCTTCTCCAGCACCACAGCGCAAAGGCATCAATTCTCCTTCTATCCTCTTTGGTCATTGTCCAACTCTCTGATGCATGACAAGTGATTGCGAAGACCATGGCCTGTATCAGACGCACCTTAGTCTCCAGAGAGACACCATTGCTCTTCAGTACTTTGGAGAGGTCCCTAACAGCAGACTTTCCCATGGCAATGCACCTTTTAATTTCCTGGCTACTGGTGCCAAGAGTGTTGACTGTGGAGCCAAGCAAACTAAAGCTGTGTACAATCTCAATCTCTTCACCATCCATCTTGATGCTGCCAATTGTTCCAGTGGTGAGAATCTTTGTCTTCTTGACATTGAGCCTCAATCCATATTGTAGACTGCAGTCCTTGACCCTCTGTAGCAGGTGCTTCAGGTCCTCTTCAGTTTTAGCAAGCAGGGTTGTGTCATCTGCATAACGCAGATTGTTGATAAATCGTCCACCAATCTTGACCCCACATTTCTAATATAATTAATTATAATGTCCAGTTAAACCTTATTTCTTTTCAATTTGGGCCCATATTTTAGCAGCACATTTTGTGAGGTGGGGGAAATTTTTCTTTCTTTTGTAACTAGTGCAGCAATCTCTGATTGTGTTATGGTTAAAAGATCAGCAGTTCAAACCCACCAGGTAGTCCATGGAGAAAAAGGTGAGACAATATATATTCATAAAGATTTACAACCGTCACATGATGATATAGTCAAGGTCATTGTTGTTGTTACATTCATCAAGATGGTATTGACTCATAGGTGACCTTCCAGGGGGTTTTCAGAGGCTGTAAATTATGTGAGAGGAGATTCCCATTTTTCTCCTATGGAGCAGCTGTTGGATTTGAACCATGTGTCTTTGGATTGTCAGTGCAATTCTTTACCAGTAAGCCACTAGAATTCCCTCATTAGCTTTTGTTGTTTGTGCCATTGAGTCAAAAGAGACTCCTAGCTTTCCCTCTAGCAAGTTTCAGAGGCAGTTAATCACATGAGTGGATATTGTCCATCCTTCTCTTAAGGAGCAGCTGGTCCATTTGAACTGCATGTCTTTGGGTTGCCAGAGCAACTTCTTGTCATTAGGCTATCAAAGCTCTCTCATTAGGTATTATAGAGATGCAAATCATATGCAATATCATCTTACCTCAGAAAAAAATAGCAAAGTTTTACACAACAACAAATAACAATTGCTGGCAAGGGTATGGAGAGGTTAGAATTCATACACTGCTACTGAGAATGCAAAACTACTTGACATAAATAGATAATGTGTTCTTGACAGCGTTATTTACAATAGCAAAGAGATGAAAAGAACTTAGATGCCATCAATAAGTGGTCAAAGAAACTATAATCTATTTACATAATAGAGCATTATACAATCCTAAAGTACAATGTTGTGATAAGACCCTATCCATGTGCATACAAGGAAGACCTGTTAGTATGACTGTTGTTAACAGGTTATTAAAGTATGCACAAGAGCTAAAGCCCAGGAGGAAGAAAGAGAGGATTTTGACCAATATTAGCAGCCTGAAATTGACCAGACATGCACTCAAGATGCATTAATAATTACTGGTGACTGTATGCGAAAGTTATAAACAATGAGGAGGGAATAGCAGTTGGAAAGTACCATGTTGGTATCAAAAATGAGGCTGCAAATGAAATGATTGAATTTTGTACATTCATTGAATTATTCATCATAAATACCTTTAAAAAAAACACACAAGAGGCCAACATGGCTGATGAAGTGTTATGTAGTAAGGTTAATAGTTGGGCATCTGCTGTCAGCCCCAGTTGATCACAGGAGTAGAATGTGAGCTGCCAGTCAAAGGCACACGGTTCATATCAGCAGCTGCTCCATGGGAGAAAGATGGACAATGGAAGATCAGCTTACATCCAGCAGTGG